GAAGTTGGAGCTGAGTTACCTAGTAATGAAGAACTTGATCGTTGGTTAGGAGAACCAGTTGCAGCTTTAATAATACAGTCCAACATATTTATCACAAATAAAAAAGGTTACCCAGTGTTATCTAAACCTCATCAAGAATTTATCAAAAAAATGTTCAATATAGGCTGTCAAATTGTAATATCTGGACAATTAGGAATTAAACAACAATTCAATTATTTAGGTCATCTATACCAAAATACTTCATCATTAACCCCTTACAGTTCTGACTTTATAAGTGGCTTTGAAGATTATCTTCAGACACCATTACAACCATTGAAACATAATTTACAGTCATATGTTTATGAGACATTTGAGCAAGATCCTATCAAGTATTATGAGTATCAAAAAGCAATATCAAAAGCTTTAATTGATAAATATGAAGATAGAGTACTTGTTGTTTATGTTGTTGGCGCTGGCCGTGGTCCATTAGTAGATGCTACGCTTGAAGCAGCTAARGGATCAAATATTAAAGTCAAAATAAGTGCTATTGAAAAAAATGAAAATGCTTTACCGTCACTGTTATTCAAAAATAAAGAAAAATGGGAAAATCGTGTTACTATTATTAATGAAGACATGCGGTTATGGAACCCATCAGAAAAATGTGATATTTTAGTATCGGAGCTATTGGGGTCTTTTGGTGACAATGAATTATCCCCAGAGTGTTTAGATGGGGCTCAAAAATATTTAAAAGAAGATGGAATAAGTATACCTTCAAGTTATACTTCTTATTTAGGACCAATACAATCACGTAAATTGCATGCAGAAATATCATCCATTAGGAAAAATAATGATAATTGTAATTTTCAAAAACCTTATGTAGTACAACTAAATAATGTCTATTCTATAGCTCCACCAAAAGCCCTTTTTACATTTGTTCACCCAAAAAAAAATTTAAAAGAGAGTAATGACAGAGATGGGTTTTTGAAATTCAATATATCTCAAGATTGTGTTTTACATGGATTTGCTGGTTACTTTGAAACTGTACTTTATAAAGACGTACGTCTTAGTATTGTTCCAGAATCATTTAGTGATGGTATGTTCAGTTGGTTTCCTGCTTACTTTCCTCTAATAAAACCGATATTACTTGATAAAGGAGAAGAAATTCAAGTTAATTTTTGGCGGTGCTGTGACAAGTATAAAGTGTGGTATGAATGGTGTATGACAAGACCATATCAAAGCATTATACACAATATAAAGGGTGAAATGTATTTTATGTCACTTTAACTCATTTTATTTAGTATCAATTGTCAATGTTTTTATTTTATTGTAATTGAATCATATGTTTCTGTATTCTATAACATTATCAAATCATAAGGTTTTAAAATATTTTTAATGATTAACATAAATTTGAATATTTATTATTTTAAGTTAAGMTGCCAAATGATAATGATAATATTCCAAACCTCAATTACTAAAATTTTTGTTTATAAAATTATAATTTTTTCTTGTGTATTCTTTTTATGTATATTACATTACTTCATACCTACTTTAAAAATATTTTTTTCAATGATTGTATGTGTTTAAATAGTTCCCATTTTGTAAAAGATTAAGACTATTAATTTTTATATTATTGTATTTTACCATTTTTTTTTTTTAAATCACATCAAAAATAATTAAGCCTTAACTTTGTTTTATATCAAAGGTATTCAAACTGTGCGCCGTGGCTCCCAGGGGCGTCGTTTGAGTTTGCAAAGGGAGCCGCGTCAATCATGGAATCCAATATCATACATAGGTCTTGTATAATAATAATTATTATTAGGGTTCGGAAGTTATAGTAGTTGCATATTGTTMTGTATGTTGTTGAATTATAGCAGACCAATAAGCTAGAAATCTGAGCTATACAATGTTGAGTTTAAATATACATATTTTGCATATTTTGATAATTTTAGAGAAAAAGTGCATATTTCGTC